GCTAAAGAAGAAAAAAAAAAATGGAACTGTGCTGTAATTGCCAATAATAAATAGTTGTTTGTTATTATCAAAACAGCATCGTAATTTGAATTTGTTTTTGGCTAAAATGATTACCATGGGTCTGTCAGATATCCAATTCAACAGGTAAACACAACACTGGTTGTAGCATATAGAACGGGTCACAGTGTGGCTAGTTATAACATGGTGGAACAGTTTATAATCAGTGTGGTAGCATTCACAACTCATCATTACACTGAGAACTGCCACGAGAACATATAACAACTGCAAAAGTGCAGTCAGTGAAGAGTGCCTCAAGTCCTTGAGGTCCGTCCTGTCATTGGATTTTATAATCTGTAACAATGAAAATGTCTATTCATAAGGACTAACAACCTAACTCCACTAAGAACCAAAGATAGATAAAAGGTGACAAAAAATTCTTCATAAAAAACAGAAAATATTCAGCCATCTAGTTTATATAAAAAGGCATTCATCTGTGTGTCCAGCTTAAATTCCAAAACTACAATTATTTTGACCATTAAAACCATATGTATTCTGGTTCAAACACCAGCAAAGTTAATAAATGAATAATGAATAAATAGGCTGTAAAATATGCTTTTTGCTTAATAAAAAAAAAGATGATTTTTTATGAAGTTATTATTAATAAATGATATACATAAAAAAAATATATAAAAAAAGGTAAACTTAACAAAAACATTAAACAATTTTCTATTTATGTCAGTCAATTATGTGCTATGCATGATACATGCTTAGGCGATCATGTATCTTTTGATACATGACTGACGAGGCAGATTTGATCTGATGGAAATATGGAAAAGACAGAGATGCTATATAGTTTCAGTGAGAAAATGAAAGAAAGGGAAGATAGAAATGTTTAACATCTGTTTCAGTGAAATGGAAAAAGTTGTAATTTTCAAATCTTTTCATTTGTACCCATTTACTTCTTTCATTAATGACCAGCATTTATATTTATGATTATTATTGCAACATTTTGTTAAAGTTGTTAAGCTCAAATATTTAATGATGCAATAAGGGAATTTCTATGGATATTTTGTTGTCATAGAACTCGCCATGAGCTTATTCAATCATTAACTTAAGAATTAAGATTCATCAGAAATTTCAAATAGGAAAATCAAGAAATTTTCATGAGTATTTCTAGTATCTCCATAATGAGTAATATACAAATTCATAATGAAAAATATTCATTACACTGTAAATTTCCATATAATACATAGGCAACACTGGGTAGCCTTCCTAGTAAATAATATAGTTTATGTTGATGTATCAAACTAAATTCATGATTTTCCTTTTATAATATATGAATCAAAATAATAAAAAAAAAAATCAAACTTCAAAAGAGTCCTTGTCTTGTCTTTTTAGACACAAAAATATAAAACTGGAAATCTTTTGTATACAATATCCATTCAGGATGTAGGTGATCATGGCTCTTGACAATTTCCTGTTCTTAAAGAATTTTGTCTTTTTGCTAAACCCTGTTCTACTATCCATTTAACACAAGCTTGCTAGATTGGTTATGCATTCTTTTTCTTTATTCCTCTTGCCTTCAATCTATTCTGTGAGTATCGAATTTTTCTATACTTCTTTCATCATTATGTACCCTAGAAATTTCAACTGCCTCTTTCTGGTGTTAAACAGGTTTCCATTTTCTCTAAAACTTTATATATGGTGTTCTCAGCATCCTTCTGTAGAACCACATTCCTTCATCTGTGAGGAAATTACCCAGCTTCCAATACCATGTAGGAGGAGGACTGATATTATGTAACAGTTCAGTACTCTCTTCTTAATTTCTAAGGAGATTTAATCTTAGAATTTTAGAAGAAAAAATATCATCACTAGGATCTTTTTACAGTATGGTAGAAACTATAATGTAAATACTTTTAAATTCAATGAATTATCTAATTTACATGTACAAATATCATTTACCAGACAGGAAGTGCTCATAACATCAGAATTTAGAATAAAAATGTCAACTGTTTTGCATTTCATCCACCCACTTATTAAGGCTATTTTTTTTTTTACATGACTCAGTCATTTACATTGTTGTTCTGTCATGCAATATATAGACATAATATTTGGGAAACTTGTATGTTTTAAAGTGTTTTCATATTTTTCCCATGAGTTGTTTAGACTATTGAACTTATTCTACCTTACTTTTGTTGTTATTGCAACATTTCAGTTAATCTATTCTACAGACTTTTTCAGGTGTGCTATCTGTAAGGAAAGTGGGTGAGTACTCTCACTCTCTCTCTTTATTTTTTAAACAGAAAATTTGAATGAATAGTTGATATATTAACATTTCTTTTTAACAATATTTTTTTAAAATCATTTCACCCCAAGCAAGGCAATAAAGCCACTAATATGCAAGGGTTTACCGAGTGTGAGAGGATATAAGAAAAAGAAAACATTAAGGAGAGTGTTGTATCTTTAAAGAGGTTACAAACAGACAAAGCTGGTACTCGAGTGAAGGAACAGCAATATGCATGTAGATGAAAGAAGACAGGTTTATTGTAAAAGACAGGGAATCAGGTGGCAGGCTAGTAATTCCCAAAGCACGCCCCCAGGTATACACTGTGCTCACTATATATAGCTACTGATATATCAGTCTGCATAGGTGATAGGGAGTGTGGGACATTCTATTACAACAGAGAGAGAAAAATAAAAGAACAGGAATTAAGATAGAAGATAACAATTGACATTGCATTTAAACTTTTGAAGATCAAAATTGATTGGATAGCAAGAAACTGCAAAAGAATTCCACAACTGAGTAGTGCAAGAGAAGACACTGTTAGCATAGAACACATGGTTATGTCTTGTCATTTAAACTGTAAAATGATGAGAACTTGCAATCTAGTGTTGAGTTTAAATTCATAAATTCTAGGTACCAAAGAGGAAAGCTCATCATAGCAATTACCATGAAAGTATTTAAATAAAAGCCACAAAGAAGTCACATTACAGTGGTGACAAAGTAACTGAAGCTGAGATGCCAGGTCAGGACCAAATAACATTGCAGATTCTTTGTATTTTAACAAGAATCTCTAAATACATAGAAGCACTAGATGAGACAGCAATATTCAATGTACGGACGAATTGTAGATAATTTTTCTCACCCAAATCTCTCTTACACATTTAATAAGTTTAACACATCACAGAGAACCAAATTTCCTAGTAGCAAACTAAGCAATTGATTATATAATCTTTCCACTTCATGTCAGCAAAAAAAAACATTAGCCCAATAAGTCACAAGGTGCCACTCTCCCGAAAGTTAGTGTCAGCCATGCTGATGGAAGGCAAAAAAGAGTCTCTTGGATGTTTTTTTCTATGTTATTTTCCCCCATATAAAATTAAATATATTTACATTTTATTTTAACATATTTCCTATGTACAAATCACATTGATTTGTTCATGTATATTTATTTTTTAAATTTTATTAACTATTCAAATTTTTAATTTCAACCACAGTGTTCTTAAGTAGAAGGGTTGCCATGTTAATATTTTCCTTTATTATGAAAATGTCATTCTGAGTGAAACATTGACAAAAAATAAATCTTAAACATCCAACTTGTTTTCACAAATTTTGTCATACATACAGGGTGCGATGGATAAATTGTCGTCTAAATTATGTAAACATGAAAATAATACTGACATCTCATTTTAACATATATATTTACTAAAATTACACAAAATATGGCCTCCAGAATCTTCTGCAACTCTTCTAAAGGATCTCTAAGTTGGTGAATTCTGCCATAATCCTTGCCTTCAGTTCATCTTTGGTATTACAAAGAGTTTTGTTGGTCTCTTGCTCAACTGCATCCCACACATAATACAGGTTGCAGTCTAGGGAGTTAGGTGGCCAGATGTAAGGGGTGATGTGGTCAGAAATTGTCTGACAGCCATGACTGGGTTCTCCTCCTGACTCATTCATATTTTCTGTAATAACAAAAAAGCATCCCTTTTTCTGTATTGTATTACTTATTCTATGTAAGTAAATAAATAGACTTCTTTTTTTTTTCTTTTAACAGAATATATGAATGAGTAGAGAGTATATATACTTTCTGTAAGTAAGTAAATTCTTGTAGCAAATTGAAGAATTAGTGCAGGTACATGAATACAGCAACCATTGCAAATTTGGAACACAAACTTCAAACTAATGTGAATTTTACCATGAGCCTGCTTACCACTCTGGAAAGCCCACAAGTGAACTGTTCATACTCCACAAAGAAATCAGTGACAAAAGCCATGTACAATGTGCCCTTTATATTAGAGAAATATTCAACAAATCCACCCATCCCTGACATGTAGGAAGCATCCATTCTATCTTTTTCATTCCACATAGACGGCATATCCACTCCACCTTTTCGATTCATTCAACAATGACAGTACAGCTCCCAACCAATCCAAAGTCCAAGATGAATCTGAGATTGAATTTAACTGCTATTGGGACAGATGCTGAAATAGCTATTTGTTAACCCACACCTTGCAAAAGAATAAGCAGACAGAGGAAAAAAAAGTGGGCCAACAACAACACTGAGTAAACTGGAAGATATTTCATAGACTCATACATTGGCATGCAAATGAGTCATATGGAGGGAGCTAGTTAGGTACTCAGAAATTATGATCAAACCTGGTGATGAAATAAATAAAACCAATCTTTTTTTCCTGAAAGATTTTGCAACCTTTTTCATATTTATAATATATTGGCAAAAAAATTGGAAATAATAAAAGCAATTGTATATGGCTTCAGTCATACAAACAAAAAAAAGAAAAAAAAAAAGATTTTTCTCAAAATTACAGAGATCAATTTCATATCTTGTTGCAATTTATACCAAAATTATTTACTATTCAAAAGGTTAAAAATATTAAAAGTCTGACAGTTTAAAATTTGAGAAGTGTAAAAAAAAAAAAAAAAAAAAAAAAAACTCCAAGGAGCTGGTTAAAACCAAAATGAAAAATAACAGACTTACTTAATGATTCCATTTCGGCCAATCGGACTGTTGTTCTGGATATGGGTCACCTTTACAAAACCTTGGTCATCAACTTTTAATGTCATTCCCAAGCCAATAATTCCTTTCAAAACCTCAACCTGAAAAGGCTTATCTTCAGATCGTACTTGGTTAGACTTTCTCTCATGTCTATAATTACGAGAAAAGAGGTTGGCTGAAAATGTGTTTAAGTAATCACTTTTGCGATAGCTAGGATCACTTTTGCCATCAGTTCTTAGAGTTGAATATTTTTCCTTTGAGGGCATGCTGGTCTGGAACTCTTTGAAGTTAGAAAATGCATTTCTGGGTAAGGATTTTGTATAATTCTGAGGTGCCTCCTCATTTTTATTTGCAAACGGCTTTGATATAGTGCCAAAAGGATCCTGTTCTCCAGTCTCGGCACAAGATTCAAATGAACCAACAGAAGTGGCATAAGAATCATTTGAATCAAAACTTCCAAATTTTTCAGATGCCTTATTCTCTTTGGAAATATCAGAGACAGTGTGATAAACAGTGTTTTCTTCATCCGTCAATTTGTCATAGTCGTCAACAATCTTTGTAGGTGCCAATTTTGAGAGAATTTCTTTCTGGTTAAACTTTTCCTGGTCATAGGAATTATTTTTGTAAACCCCTGGAGAATCAGCCCTTCCAGAATCAGGTGACAAAGCTGGCATATCTTCAATTAAGTCATTGTCTGAATTCCTGGAAGACAATGGAATATCACCTTCTTCGTCTGCAGTGTGTATTCCAATGGATCCAGAGAGGCTGTCATCATAAGATACAGGTGATGTTCGTTCTTCTTCAACTAAGTCATTGTCAAGGCTGACATTGGCAGTGGACTCCAAATTAAGTCCCTTGGAGACATTGGTGCCAAAATTAGTAGGCGGAGAAGATAAGCATTTCTCATCTTTAGCCACTTGTAATATATTCTCTTGAAGACCATCAAGTGGATCGAGGCCATAATCGGGTGATTCAACCGTGTCAATGAATTCATTCAGAACATTCTTTTGATTGGTGGATTGAGATATTTGGAAATCTGGAAGTAAATTCTCAGATTTAGCTTCTCCAGCAGCTTCCCAGGGGTCTGCATGATTAGAGAAAGGTAACGTAGAATTTGAGTTGATAGGGCTCAGGACATCCGTATCAATTGAAATAAGGTCTTCATTAGAAGAACATAGGTCACCAGTATTGAAATTATTATTTAGTTCATTAGCATTGTTGATAACAGCATTTGAAAAGTCTTCCAGACCATCCAAGGAGAAAGTTTCTTTAGCAGGTGACTGCTTGGACATATTTAATTGGCTTGACCAGTCAGTGTGGGGGCTACTTTGAACAGCCTCAGCAGTCAATTGAATACACGGTTCATCTATGACAGAAGGTAAGGATGAATCAGCTGGACATGCATCAATTGGTTTCTGCAAGCCATCCAAATAAACGTTATCTGCAGACTCGGTAAAAGGAGAGCCAGTTAGAAAATCAAGCACTGGTTTACTCAATGTGTTTTTGACGTCACACTCAAAAGAAGACAAGTGAGATTTCGAAATGTTAGGAGAATCACCGATATCCGAGATTGTCGTAGAATCACTGCTACTCAAGTCAGTCAGATCTAACAAGTTTTCTTGGTTGTTTGTTTCTAAAACAGGTTTGATGCTTTGGCTTGTTTTTATTTCAGTTGATATTAGTAACTCACTAGTAAAACTATTTGTATTCCTAACATCATCATTGTTATTGTTGTTGTTGTTTACTTCACAACTGTCATCATAAATTGGCTGAGGGTCATAAGATTCCAACACGGTTTGGTTGTCATCCTTGCGAAAAACCTCGAAAGTCAAGGACGGACCTTCAGATTTCAAAATATTGAGACACTGGTTGAAAGGAATCTTATGGAGTGAGTTCCCATTGCAGGAAACAAGGCAATCACCTTTGTTCAATAGTTTGGACTTAGAGCAAATTCCGTCAGGTTCTAATTCTTTTATCTACAAGAGAAAAAAAAGAAATGCAAATAAGAATTATTAAATTCAATAGTTTTTTTTTTCTAACCAGTAAACAACATTAAAATATGTACAAACAAAAAAAGAGTTAACACTTGAAAGATCAACTTAATGGTTACAAACAGGAGTAAATTATTTAAAGGGTGTTTTTTTAGTGTGAATGTGTGCGTATTTATGCCAAAAGAAAGCATCAGTTTTAATAGATATTTTAAATACATAGCATAATGGTTAGTGACTCAGAATGAGAAATCAGCAAGTAAAGTTCAAATTCTGATAGAGTTTGTTTTTCCTGTATGTGATATGTTCCTTCAATTCACATAAATACTCACCTGAAAGGTATCCATCCAAAGATTAATATAGTAAATCTTTTTTTGCAGTAAAAAAAAAACACACTAATTTGGAAATTGTTGCAAAAATCAAATAATTGTCAGATTTTAATGAAATTTTCAAGACTTATTCACAATTGAATGAAATTATCTTTGAATTTTTTTTTAAGAAATTAAAATTTTACTCCCTTCATATTTATATTAGTTAAAAGCAGGACTCCTTGGAGAATCTAAATCATCAATTTTGTTTTTTAAAAACAGAAACACCATTTACTGAAAATCTGCTCTGAATTGTAAAAGAAAAAAATACAATAAAACTATAATATTATTTAATTAAAAAAGCTTTTAATTGCTTTTATTCAAGATACATTAAGAATACTATTGATAAAAGATTTTTTTCAATAAATAATGAATCCTTACAAGAATTTTTTTTAATTTTAATTAGAATAATTTAAGCTTAAAATTTTTAAAATTCTGTATTAACTTCAGCCTTTTAAATATTATCAAGTAAATCATAAATAAAAAAAGCTTAGTACAAATCATCAAACACCAATATCAGAAAATAAGAGCAATAACTATAATAAATTCAAAGTCAAAATATTTAAAATTCGATAAAACATTAGATTACTGAGAATATTTTATGAAAGTTTTAAGATTACGATGTATTTAAAAATTATATATAAAAGGCACTAAACATTATATTGTTTAATTACTTTTTTTACAGATAAAACCCTGGTAGAACAATATTAGATAAACATACACCTGTCATCATGCTGGCAACACTTGAACAGCTTAAATAAACGGCTACCATCCTTTTAAAAAATGCATTTCTGCAATATTTTAAGCTTAACGTTTCAAAATCAGATTAATTATACTTTAGAACAGCTAATATTCCTCAAATGAAGTTTCATAAAAGTATATTTTATTTTTGAAAGATTTTTTATTTTAGCAACAAAAAAAATTTAAAAACTCCTTTCATCCATGATTAATAATCCATTAGCTTAAAATTAAAACTAAAGTAAAAACTACAGGAAAGATTTTTCATTTTTTTAAATTAATTTTAAACCTTAGGTATCATGAATTTGTGGAGATACCTACCTAAATATATACAATAATGGATCATAAGCAACATAGTGAACAATTCAACTAAAAAAATTGAAAATAAACACAATGTATCTAAATATAAATTAAAGACATGTCATAAGAGGTCATTCCATCTTAAATAAACCAACAAAGTTTTGCAACATTTTTTAACATCAACTTGAGATTTATCTTGTTAAAATGTTGAATAATTTTAACACATTCAACATTATAAATAAAATTACTGAATTTTGTAGTATTTTTTTCAGGACTTATCATGCACAAAACAAATTCATGGACTTGGACAAATAGGAAAAAAAAAAAAAAAAAAAGACCCCAGAATGACATCAAAATCCAAACATTTTTCATCCTTTAATAGTCAGTTGTGCTTAATTTAATTTGTAATGTATCTAAATGTAGGTAGAAAAAAAGCACATGTTGATAAAACAGTGAGTGTAAAAAAGCACTCCCCGACATCCCCGATTAGGCTTTTGGGCTCCCACCCAGGTGGGTGTAGTATGCACTGACCCTGCTGGTCAGTACCTAATAGGCGACTACTTAGGAATAGCAAATGCTGGAAAATTGAACATGCAGATAGTGTAATGGATAACAGCTTGAAATTAGAAATTGGGGAGCCAAGTTCCAATTCTAGTTGAGTTCATTGTATTCACTTATGCACAAATACCCTGGGGAAGGTAGGAATTGCATCTCTTCTCCTCTGGCTATGGGTTAATTAGTATCAGTAAATCCTTATTATCCCCCACCCCAATTCTTACAATCTAAAAATAATTTCTGACTTTAAATAACCTGCAAAAGGTTGATAAGTGAAAACAAAAACCAAATCAATCTCTTCTCTCCCAGATAAGAGGTTAACAGCAAAATAAACTGGGCTCTCTAGCTTTGGTTGCTAACCAGTCTAGAAGAAGGACTGGCAACTTTCTCCCATGAACTCTACTTGCTACAGAAATCTCTGCAGCAACACTTAACAGTGAGGCTGTGGCTCTATATTACACAGTGGAGTCTACAAGATTATCATCCATATATAATTATAGAAAAAAATAATTTTGCTATTCCAATTGCTGGCAGTGATTAAATAAAAAAAAAAATGAATAAAAAAAAAACAGATTTTACCTATTAAAAATATGTAATGATTTGATATCAACTCCTTATGGGTCACTTAATGCCAAAATTTAATTTTGTGGGGAGCTTTGAATTAATAAAAATATGATATATGGTATTCTACTTTCACATTTGAATACATGGTAGATGATACTCAGCTTTTGTGCATATACATATTTGTGCGGACATAATGACTAGAGGCAGTGATATATGTGTTTTATGTTGTTTTATTAAAGTTATATTTTAGCTTTATTTCTTTAAGAAATTGTATGGATATTATATGGATTAATGTCATGAAAGAGCTCTTTCATGTTGGTTGGTTGGCTAGTGACATATCAACCTCTACTTGTTATTTAATGCCAAAATCTAAATATTTTGAAGACAATTTTATAGCATCTACTAAATATATTTTGAATGCAGTTATATACCTTCAACTACATATAAAATGTATTGTTTAGTCATTTTCCTAAAAAATGTATTGTTGGTCATTCTACTATAAAAATGTGTAGCTGGTCATTTTGCTTTAAAAATATATTAGTAATTTTACTATAA